GAACAATGTTGTAACATGGTTAAAATTCAGGCCAGGAGCTGATGGTATATTATGTTAAATGTGGTAGTTTCTAACCACTCACTCGTGATTTTTCAACCAATGGGTTTTTAGGGTGTAGTGTCCAAGCTTTGATGCCTTTTGAAATAAGATGTGTTTACGTGTGGTACAATTTGACCTGGACGTGGCGGTGCACATTAAGGGCAATTTAACCTCTGCATTTGACCCATCCTGATGCCACGGGCGTCCGTCAGGAGCAGTGGCCGCTGTAGTCCCGCGCCCGGGCACCCATCTCCTGATGATGATGCTCGGCTTGGTTAGGACCAGAGCTGGAGGATTTTACCTATTGTACATGTTTTTCAGTGGTAGGGGAAACCGGAGTATAGAAGAAACCAAAAGAACATGCAAATTCCATGGAGAAAGACCCGTTTAAGACCAGGATTCAAACCCTTCTCTGCTGTCCCTCCCTGAGTCCAATTCAATGTATTTTTGTTTAAGCCTAAATCTCAACAGTAGTTATCTCAGAGGTCTATACAAAGCTACCGATTCGCCAACACAGATCAGAGAATCAAACAGTTCAAACACAAGAAATTCAATGATTAAAAAGAGAGCCATTGGTCCAAAAGGGGCAGAGACCAATGTTGCGGGTCGTGGATCTTCAGCGCTGTCCTCAGACCCTCCTGCATCGGCGTAGAACATCTCTGGACCTGGACCATCCCCTGTGGTCCCTCCCTTCCTCCCTGGTTCGGTCTCGCTCTGGTCTCGCTTTGGTAAAGTGAAGGTGCTTTCAGGAGCGCTGGCACATTTGCAGAGTGGTGCAGGGTTAGAGGGAGATGAAACGCTGAGTGGGAAGCACAGCAGAAGTGGGTCATGGAGAGCAGCAGCCGGCCACAGGGCATCCAACATGTATGAGGCCGCATCAGCCTGAATCATTCATCACATTTCACTGCAGCTGCTGGAAGAGAGGGGGGCGCTGAAGAGAGGAGGACGCTGAAGAGAGAGGGCTCTGACTGAGGACAGGCTGCCTCTGGATCGTCCTGATGGGTATCCACTCGTGTGGGAGAGATGTATCGTGTGGGAGAGATGTATCGAGATCGCAGTGGAGAGCAAAATGGGGGACTGTCAGAGTGTTTTGGGTACAAGAAGGGGGAGAGATCAGAGAGAGAGGGACCAGAGAGAGACCAAAGACAGAGGGACCAGAGAGAAACCAGAGAGAAACCAAAGAAAGGTAACAGAGAGACCGAGAGAGACCAGTCAGACAGGCGAGATATGAGCAAGAGAGACCAGAGGGATAATAGAGGGAGACCAGAGAGAGAAACCTCAAAAGAGAGACTAGAAAGAGACAAGAGTGAGACATGAGACCGAGACTAGAGAGAGTTCAGTGAGAGGGACCAGAGAGATGAGAGAAACCAGAGAGAGAGGCAAGATATGAGCAAGTGAGACCCGAGAGAGAGAGTCTAGGGAGAGTTACCAGAGAGAGACAAGAGACAGAGACCTGAGGGAGAAACCAGAGAGAAAGAATCCAGAGAGATACAAGAGAGAGAGGAGAGAGAGTAGATACCAGAGAGAGGAGATGGAGACATGAAACAGAGACCTGAGGGAGAGACTAGAGAGAATGAAACCAGAGAAATACCATAGAGAGAGAGACATGAGACAGAGACCAAAGAGAGAACAGAGCGACCAGAGAGAGAGAGACCAAAGAGTGAGGACATAGAGACCAGAGAGAAGGACAAGAGAGAAACCAGAGAGAGAGAACAGAGAGAGACCAAAGAGTGAGGACATAGAGACCAGAGAGAGACCAGAGAGGTTCAGTGTCAGTGTATCCATACAAAGGCCCTGAAAACACACTTTTGAAACCAGATTCTAGAGGAAATATCTCAAATGAGCTCCTCCACGTTTGTTATAATGTTCCTGTGTTTTTATTGTTGTTGGACCATTCTTATGTGTTCTGCAACATGTAGGAAAAGGCAGAATCAGAGCAGTGTACTATGGGGGACTGTTAGAGAAATGGTGTCTTGGATTCACGTGGGTAGAGAGACCAAAGAGAGAGGGACCAGAGAGAGACCAGAGAGAGAGGGAAGATATGAGCAAAAGAGACCAGAGAGAGACTAGGAGACATAAGACATGAGACAGAGACCTGATAGAGACCAGAGAGAGTCCAGGGAGAGGGACCTGAGAGAGACCAGAGAGAGACCAGAAAGAGAGGCAAGATATGAACGAGAGACATGTCAAAGAGAAAGTCCAGAGAAAGAGACCAGAAAGAAACCAGAGAGAGAGAGGTTCAGTGAAAGTGTATCCATATAAAGCCAGCGTTTTGGAGCTCTGAAAATCCACTTCTGAAACCAGGTTCTTGAGGAAAGATCTCAAATGAGTTGTTGTGTTGCATTATGGACCCTTATGGACCAATGGCTCTGACTGTTTGATTCTCGGATCTGTGTTGGCAAATCAACAGCTTTTTAAAGTCCTCCGAGAGAACTACTGTTGTGATTTAGGGCGATACAGAAATAGATTGAAGTGAATTGAAGGACTCGGAAAACTGTTCTTTTGGTTAAATCAACCGTTCTATATGAGTCATATCCACAGAGAGAATATGAGGCGTGGACTGACCGAGTGTGACATCATCGTAGTGTAAGCTTTGATGCAAAAGAGGCTAAATTGAAAATTTTGAGCCAGTTTCCTTATTTGGGCATTTGTTCCTACCGCGTTAGCCTCATGTGGTAAAAGGGGCGGACGTGTTGTTGCTAAGGCAAGCAGGAGTTTCCACCGCAAATGAAGGCCTCTGATTGGTCGATCCTTATGTGGCTCATATTTGGATTTACAAAAACAATATCACATTATTACAACATTATAACATCTGTCAGTCTGTCAGTCAGTCAGATTCAGGTGTCCAGTAGCAGAAAAATAGAAATAAAATTGATTATTCTAAAAAGATAACAATAGTAGTAATCATCAACAGCCCTGCAGGTCACAGCAGCAGAGGTGGAGTAGCCTCTGGGTGGAGCAGGACGGGTCACAAGGTGGAGTAGCCGCTTGGTTCGGACCATTTTCTCTGCTCTAGTCCAAAGTAAAATGCTAAGTTAGCATTCCTCCAGTGAATCCACTTGGTTCAGACCATGAATCCTCTCTGCTCTGGTCTGGACCAGTGTAAAACCATGAACACTGTACTGCAGCAACATCCCCGTCAGAAAACAGCAAGAAAAAGAAAAATTATAAAGCACAAAACAATAACTATTTATGAGACACTTAGGACTTGCAGTCGTTTTCCAGCACATTCAAAAGTAATTGAAGGTAAAGCCGACCAACACTCGGAAATGAGAAGCAAAAAGATCGATGAAGTTTGTACAGCTGATTTGAAGTGTCTGTGTAAAGATGTGTCTCGTGGGCTCGTGTCTGAAGATTATTCTCACTGCGGAGAATCTTGATATGAAAAAAGCAATCTTCAAATTTCAATTTGAAAAATGTCTGTGTCCAAAAAGCATCGGCCTCGCAGCGTGTTCCATCTGTAATCAGACCGTTCCATCAGGCACTGATGTGGAGGAATGTGCTGTGGGTTTGTGTGAGCTACAGCCTCAGTCCTGGATCTACAGCCTCAGTCCTGGATCTACAGCCTCAGTCCTGGGTCTACAGCCTCAGTCCTGGGTCTACAGCCTCAGTCCTGGGTCTACAGCCTCAGTCCTGGATCTACAGCCTCAGTCCTGGGTCTACAGCCTCAGTCCTGGGTCTACAGCTCAGTCCTGGGTCTACAGCCTCAGTCCTGGATCTACAGCCTCAGTCCTGGGTCTACAGCCTCAGTCCTGGATCTACAGCCTCAGTCCTGGGTCTATAGCCTCAGTCCTGGATCTACAGCCTCAGTCCTGGGTCTACAGCCTCAGACCTGGGTCTACAGCCTCAGTCCTGGATCTACAGCCTCAGTCCTGGGTCTACAGCCTCAGTCCTGGATCTACAGCCTCAGTCCTGGGTCTACAGCCTCAGTCCTGGATCTACAGCCTCAGACCTGGGTCTACAATCTCAGACCTGGGTCTACAGCCTCAGACCTGGGTCTACAGCCTCAGTCCTGGGTCTACAGCCTCAGTCCTGGGTCTACAGCTCAGTCCTGGGTCTACAGCCTCAGTCCTGGATCTACAGCCTCAGTCCTGGGTCTACAGCCTCAGTCCTGGATCTACAGCCTCAGTCCTGGGTCTATAGCCTCAGTCCTGGATCTACAGCCTCAGTTCTGGGTCTACAGCCTCAGACCTGGGTCTACAGCCTCAGTCCTGGATCTACAGCCTCAGTCCTGGGTCTACAGCCTCAGTCCTGGATCTACAGCCTCAGTCCTGGGTCTACAGCCTCAGTCCTGGATCTACAGCCTCAGTCCTGGGTCTATAGCCTCAGTCCTGGATCTACAGCCTCAGTCCTGGGTCTACAGCCTCAGACCTGGGTCTACATTCTCAGTCCTGGATCTACAGCCTCAGTCCTGGATCTACAGCCTCAGTCCTGGACCTACAGCCTCAGACCTGGGTCTAAAGCATCAGTCCTGGGTTTTTGAATGGTTCCTTGCCGATGATCCAGGACATTTCTGCACAATTTGTGTGGATGTATGAGCATGTGTGTGTTTTTGTGTGCGTGTGTCCATATGTATGGGCGTGTGTGTGTGTGTGTGTGTTTGTATATATGGACATACAGTATGTGTGTTGCCCTGGATGGGCTCACACACAAAGCCGCTTTACTTAACACAGATTTGCACTAAGTCAGATCTCCTTAAACTTAATCCCACCTCACATCTGTGCCATACATACACATACACTCACACACACACATGCACATACACATACACACACACATACACACACAAATACACATGCACAGACATACACACACCTTTTTCATGATTTTAATGCTATGTCTGATTTTAATGATTCCTTTGTGGTTTTTTTCAGCACTATGAGTTGCCTTGTGTATGAACTGTGCTATACAAATAAACTTGCCTTGCTGTGATTGTGGATCTCACGCCGCTCTCTCCACAGAAACACACGTTGTCAGCGGCAACCCCACCATGGCGCCCTTCCCTGTCGGCCTAGACTCCATCATGTTTGGTGAGATTCAACTCTAAACACAAGTCTAACCCTCCCAGGTCTCGACAACAGGTCTGTTATAATCATTATGTGTGTGTGTCTGTGTGTGTGTGTTTGTATGTGTGTGTCTGTGCCTGTGTGTGTGTGCGTTTGCTCAGGCATGGGCTGCTTCTGGGGGGCGGAGCGGCTCTTTTGGCGTCTGCCGGGGGTCTTCTCCACACAGGTGGGCTACGCTGGAGGACTCACCCCCAACCCCAACTATGAGGAGGTGTGCACAGGTCAGGGTCCCGCCACACACACACACACAGAGACACACACACACACACACACACACACACAGACATTCACACACACACACACACACACACACATACGGAAGTACTCGCTATTCTACAGAAGCATGGGCTTAAACACAGTGATATTTGATGTACTTTCTGCATTTAATAATAATAATAATAATACTGCATCATTCTGATATTGGGCTTTTTGGACACTCAAAAAGCTTAGTCCTCAGAAGGCTCGGTCCTCAGGGTTCAGACTCAGTCCTCAGGGTTCAGAAGGCTCGGTCCTCAGGGTTTGGCACTTTGTTCTGATGGGAGCGAGGACATTAGAGGCAGCAGGAGGGACTGCTGTCTCCAACTTGATGTTGTGCTGATGGAGGAGGACGGTGAGATATGAGGGGGCCATGTTATGAACGGACTTGAAGGGGGTGAGGAGGCTCTAGGACGAGGAGCCAGTTGACGGGGGTGATGTGGTCTCTGGAGGGGGTGTGGGTGAGCAGAGTTTAGCATATACTACAGTTTTAGGAGATGAGTGGATGGGAGACCATAGAGGACCATCTGCTGTTGGTTCTCTTCATATACACACATACTGTAAGTCCCCATAAGTTTGGGACTGTTTTGAGGAGGGGTCTGGATCAAAGGACAAAGGTGGGACCGTCCCCTCATGTGGTCATGAGCTTTGGGGAACAACCCAGTAGATCACAGAGTCTATAGCCCGATTTCCACTCCCACTCTACTCTACTCTACTCTACTCTACCCTGGTTCGATCCAGGCCGAGCTGGTATTAAAGTGTTCTAACTGACAGTGATTGGCCAGAGTGCTGCTGGAAATCATGGTTAACAAGGAGCTTTCCCCAGATGCTGGTTAATTGTGGATATGTTGCAAGGATATGTTACTAAAGCGTATTGAAAACACAACCAGCTAAGTTATTCTTTATTGTCCCCATAGAGACATATGTCCATGACCCATAATGTACATGTTTTTAATGGTACTAGAAACTGGAGCATGCAGACATGAGGAGAATATGCAAACTCCAGGCCATGTTCCAACCAGAATTGAAACCCAGGACCTTCTTGCTGAGAAGCGAGACTGCTAACCACTCAGCCAATAGGTACGCCCAGGTAGAGTACAGTAGAGTAGAGTAGAGTAGAGTAGAGTAGAGTTGGGTAGGGTAGGGTAGGGTAGGGTAGTGTAGGGGATGGTAGAGTAGAGTAGAGTTGGGTAGGGTAGGGTAGGGTAGGGTAGGGTAGGGTAGTGTAGGGGATGGTAGGGTAGGGTAGGGTAGGGTAGGGTAGGGTAGGGTAGGGTAGGGGAGAGGAGAGTGGAAACAGTACAAACAAGGCAAAACACTCCAAATGACGAGCTCATACATAGGGACGATGCTCAGAGTAGACCCGCTACTCCTCCATGTCAAGAGGAAACCACCTCAAGAGGAAGGGAGGTAACTTCTGAAAAGTCTGTTTCTGGGTCAGTTGTGCTCAGAGTTGGTGTAAACAGACTAAATACATTTTACAGTGTTGCTTCTAACCCAGTCGACACAAACCTGAATATTCTTACTGCACCTCGTCCTCAGAGCACCAGAGTTTTTCTTTAGATGTTGAGTTTGCGGCTGGTCTGCTGAGGTGCTCTTTGATTATAAAATCTCCAATCCAAATCAAATCTCAACTGGATCTTCTCTCCTTCAGCGTCTTTGAGTGTCCAAAAAAGCGCTATATAAGTGTGATGTATTATTATTCTCTTTTCCTACATCCTGTTAATTGCGAAACCAGCGAGTCCAACATGAACGCAGAGGTAAGACTCTCAGAAACTGCCCCGATCCCTCCGCGAGCTTTGATTAGAGCCGCGATCCCAGCTCCACCTGGCATGGCCCACTGCCGTTCATCCTTTTCCAGGTTTTTAGATTAAAAAAAAAAAAAAAGCGTGGGGGGGAAAGGGAGAAATAGACTTGGAATGCTGTTTTATTTCGTAGTCTTTTTGCCGCCTTCATCTTCAGTGGAAGAGCTGGCTCAGACGGGCCTCCCCCCCTGCCCCTCCCCACACCACCCCCCCATGACCTACTTGTAAGGATTGGGCTGTGCGCTGCATGCGGACATTTTTTCTCTCTTTTTTTTTTTTTTTTGCCGACGCTGTGGCGCCATGAAACGCCATGAACTGGACCGGTTTCTCTGGACTGTGATCGCCGACCACGGAGGCTATTTACTTCATTATTGTGCTAAAGTTGGACATTTTTAGACCAAATTCTTGCTTCTTTATTTTGCTTAAGTCAGAGATTTTAGACCGAATTCTTGCTTCTTGATTATAATAAAGTTGGAGATTTTTGACTTGTTTAATTGTTTCTCTCTTACGCTAAAGTTACGCTACGCAAAGCGATGAAAAATAAGACAAAAATCGCTCAAATTTGGCAAAAAAAGTATCTTAATTTGAGCAAGATTTACCAATGGGAAAATACACAATTATCCTGTTTTAAAAAGATACAGACATTTCTCTCTTGGAATGAGAAGGTAAAAACTAAAACTAAATGACTCCCATTGGAGTCAGAATGAACTCAGATTAAGAAAATAAATCAGAATCATTTTTGTTGCCATGTAAGGAAGAGGAAGTCACAGAAGAGGAAGTTGCTTTAGCTCACGGTGCAACAGTCAAAGAAGAGAGGTAGAGAATAGGTTAAGGCATAGTAAAATCAGCAACACTTCTAAGGTATAGAAATGAAATTATTAAAATTTTTGATTTTTGATTCAAACAATTATTTCCTCATATTTTATCTTTTTTTTTGCAGTGTAGAGATTCTAGTTTAATTCAATATGGAGTTTTTGTTATTGTATCTTGTGCTGTGTGCTCCTCATTCCTACTGTTCTGTAACTGATGATGCAACACTGGAATTTCCCCACTGTGGGACCGATAAAGAATCTCTTCATCTACACGCGGGCAAAGAGCATCTTTGCATGGATAAATAAAAAATAAACCGCAACTTGGATCTAAACAACGGACAGAGAATATGTACAAATATAAAAGGCAGATGATGTGACTCTCCATACACTGCAGATTTGTGTGTGTGTGTGTGTGTGTGTGTGTGTGTGTGTGTGTGTGTGTGTGCACTTGTTTTCAACTCCTGGTGGGTTCCATAACCTGAGATTCCGCTCACGTCATGGGGACTGGTTTTACGTGGTGGGGCCCGAACACCGGACCCCACTGGTCCAAGCTTAATAATCAATGGGTAATGCTTTTCTAACGGTCCTTATGCAGTCTCTGTAAAAATATGGAAAGGACCCCTGGAGGTTTACTTTCCTGAAAAAAGTGTGTTATGTGTCGGAACCCTGGTGGTGGGTTGCGGGATATCAAGGAGGGGCACACTGGGGCAATTTCAGTCCAGCAGGCTGGAGCCAATCATGGAGCAGCACAACAGAGGAAATCAGGTGTCAGGCTAGAAAAAGGTGCAAGTGTGTGGTTCATTAGGCTGCAGCCAATCACAGAGCAGCACACTGAAGCGCACGCTTACAAACCAAACTACAAGTCATGACTTCAAATTGTTATATAGAATGATTACAAATTATTTGTTATTTGTGCAGCTTAGTCAAGAGTCCCTAATTGATGAAGTCGACTCAGATTCTGACGATTTAACTGTCAAGAAGAAACCTGTAAAAAAGTATGGAAAAAGAAAAATCAAAAACACTTTTCTTCAAGACTCGGAAAGTGACGAACCAAAGGCAAATAAGATTGTTATCATGCAGCTGCAAAAGAAGAAAAATGGGGGGCGAGTTTATAGCAAGAGACACTTCTGCCTCTACTGTTCAATGTCCTGCCACAAAATGTCCCGTCATTTGACTAGAAAACATGGAAATGAAAGTGACGTAGCCAGAGCATTGGCTCTACCTGTGAAATCTAAAGCACGTAAACTTCAGTTTGATTTGATCAGGAATATTGGAAACCGTGAGCACAATTTTGAGGTTTTAAAGGCCGGCATTGGAACTTTAGTCCCAGCTAAACAGCCAAATTGCCCAGTTAAATCCAGTGAGTTTTTGCACTGTATAGACTGTGGGGCATTGCTTAAGCGAAAGTCGCTGTGGAGGCATGTGGCCAGGTGCCGGCTTTCACAGAAAGATGCCCAGGCTAAACCAGGTAGAAGTAGGGTCCAGTCCCTCTGCTCCCTAGCCCAGCCTGTACCGGAGGGCATCAGCAAAAAGCTGTGGTCTTTAATTTCGGCAATGCATCAGGATGAGGTCACGGGTGTTGTCAAAGCAGAAAAGGGGATTCTGAGACTCGGAGAGCACCTGTACTTAAAACACGGGCATGATAAGACTAAGCATGATTACATTAGGCAGAAAATGAGAGAAGTCGGTAGGTTAATTAACGAAGCAAAAGCTGCAGGGAAACTGAAAACAATTAAGGATTTCTTTATTCCTTCCAACTTTAACCATGTGATTGATGCAGTCAGGTCTGTGGCTGGATATGATGAGGAAACAAATCAATACAAGACTCCATCCTTGGCCCTCAAACTCGGCCATAGCCTCAGAAAGCTAGCAGATATTCTTGAATGTGACTCAAAAATGGAGCATTGTGTTGATGAACTATTTATGCTTTTTGAGAAGAGGTGGGACGTCTGTGTTTCTTCTGCTGCCCTACAGACCCTCCGGCAAGCCAAGTGGAACACTCCGGACCTGCTCCCTCTGACTGAGGACGTTAGAGCCATGCATGCACATATTGAGGTATGTCGACCTGAATATGTGCAAACCCTAATAAGTGGGCCAACGTCTAAGCATTGGTCTAAACTGGCAGTTTTGACTCTTTGTGAGGTCATTATTTTCAATCGAAGAAGGGAAGGTGAGGTTTCAAAGATGCCACTGACAGCCTTTACCTTAAGAAGTAAGACTGGGATCCATTCTGACATTGCTCTGGGACTGTCCCAACTTGAGAAAAAGCTGTGTCAGCATTTTCAACGCATTGAAATTAAAGGGAAAAGAAGTCGGAAAGTGCCGGTTCTTTTGACTCCTGAAATGATTGCTTCGATGGAGGTGCTGGTGGAGAACAGAAGGGCCTGTTCCATCTCTGACCATAACCCATACTTCTTCTCCCGCCCGGGCGCAGACACCCACATCAGGGGATCAGACTCCCTACGCCAGGTAGCCAAAGAATGTGGTGCGGTGCATCCAGAGATGCTATCCTCAACCAAACTTAGAAAGCACATAGCTACTATGTCTACAGTTCTCAATATGAAAGAGAATGAGATGGACATACTTGCCAACTTCCTCGGCCATGACATTCGCATCCACAGGCAATATTACAGACTACCAGAGGGGACACTGGAGCTGGCCAAAATCAGCAAAGTGTTAATGGCCATGGAGCAGGGAAGAGTGACGGAATTCGAAGGAAAGAGCCTCGACCAGATACAAATTGAGCCTGAAGGTAATTCTTGATATTATTAAAATATGTATGATTTTTTTCCCCTAAAGGCCACTTGTATTTTTATTTTCTGTGCGACAGGGAGAGCAGTAGAGATCCTCTCACAAACGGACGGGCTAAAAGAAACTTCAAGCGGAGAACCTTCAACCATTCATCCAGATGCACCCCATGGTAGTGGCAGTGCCCCTTCTGGTAAGTGTACCAGGTGGGGGATTACAGCCAGGCTGCTTGGTCCTAACCCTGGGAGTGTATATTGCTAATATATTTTTATTTCTCTCCCTAGAACGTGTAAGAAAGCCATGGTCTGCATCTGAGGTGAAGGCTGTGGAGAAGACCATGACACCTTTCATACAGACTGGAAAGGTCCCTGGGAAGTCTCACTGCCTGGCCTGCATTAATGCCTCACCAGATGACCTTAGACATCGGACATGGAGTGGCATTCAATTCTATGTCAAAAATAGAATCACTGCAATTCGAAAAAAAAATCTAAAATAAAATTCCTTTAAAATAGTTGTTTGGTTTCTATTGTAAGTAAGTTTTTATTTATATACCGCCTTTTCACTGCAGATCTGAGTCTCAAAGCGGTTTACAATTGTAAATTTTTTTGGGCATTTGTCTCTCACTCCACACAGAGATGGGAGCGGGGTCGCCAGTACAGGAAGCGCATGCCAGAACTATTGGACATGTTTTTAGTGGTAGGGGAAACCGGAGTACCCGGAGGAAACCTACGCAGACACGGGGAGAACATGCAAACTCCACTCAGAAAGGCCCTGGTCCGACCGGGATTCGAACCCAGGACCTTCTTGCTGAGAGGCGAGAGTGCTATCCACTCAGCCACCGTGCCGCCACGGTTGACTGTTTTGTATTACTTAAAGTAGTCCCAGTAAAAAAAGATTATGTCTATGGGTCCCATTCTGAACGGCCCTGTCAAAGGGACCCACCAGGTAACAAAAACGTGTATGTGTGTGTGTGTGTGTGTGTGAGTGTGTGTGTGTGAGTGTGTGTGTGTGTGTGTCTGTGTGTGTGTGTGAGTGTGTGTGTGTGTGTGTGTGTGTGTGTGTGTGTCTGTGTGTGTGTGTGTGTGTGCACTTGTTTTCAACTCCTGGTGGGTTCCATAACCTGAGATTCCACTCACGTCATGGGGACTGGTTTTACGTGGTGGGGCCCGAACACCGGACCCCACTGGTCCAAGCTTAATAATCAATGGGTAATGCTTTTCTAACGGTCCTTATGCAGTCTCTGTAAAAATATGGAAAGGACCCCTGGAGGTTTACTTTCCTGAAAAAAGTGTGTTATGTGTCGGAACCCTGGTGGTGGGTTGCGGGATATCAAGGAGGGGCACACTGGGGCAATTTCAGTCCAGCAGGCTGGAGCCAATCATGGAGCAGCACAACAGAGGAAATCAGGTGTTCAGGCTAGAAAAAGGTGCAAGTGTGTGGTTCATTAGGCTGCAAGAAATCATGGAGGAGCACACTGAAGCGCACGCTTACAAACCACTGGTAAGTGCTGACTACAAGTCATGACTTCAAATTGTTATATAGAATGATTACAAATTCTACAGCCTCAGTCCTGGGTCTACAGCCTCAGTCCTGGGTCTACAGCCTCAGTCCTGGATCCACAGTTGTTCCCTCTCTTATATATAGTCCTCCCACCTGTTCCTGGTCTAT